CACTCGTGCTTGCGAAACGTCAAGAAGAAATTCTATTGTGCGACGGCCTAAAAACCCATTAGTTTCAACTATTGATAGCATGAAGTTGGAAAAGACTTCTAATGATCTTGCAGTTACGCATGTTTAGCCCAGATCCATGCCATTCTGGTTGAGAAAGTTGACGCGCGTTTCGAATAAAAATTACTGTTTATCTCCGGCGTCTTCCCGTTTTCCGATAAATCGTTGGTTCGAATATCTTCCTGTTGTTGTTGTTGGGTTGCGCGCACTTAATAACTGTTTCCTGAATAGTCATTAGTTCATTTTAATGTCAATGAATTGGCAACAATCTCCAAGCAAAGCCACTTAATACGATCTAATGGTCAGATAATTTCCATTATTAGATCAAACCCAGTCAATGTCGGGGTTTCCTTTCTGATTCTTGCGACATTTGTTTTGCGTTTCAAAGCGTTTAGTGTAGTTTTGCCGAGAAAAATTGTCTCATTTAAGTAGCAACTCTTGAATGATGTAATCGGAACCGGCATTCGGCATTAAAACCAAAAAATGTTTGCTTCCATACTTAGCAGGCGGGCTAAGGTGCTAATTAAGTCAAAACAAACTAGGAAATCATGATGGGTTAATTGAGGAACCGTGCGTAATGGATTTTTCGGCCAATTCCGCGACTTTTCGCACAGTTTGCATCTGAAAGACGCACTTGTCGACTGCTCATTTACTGAATATCCTTTGTTTCACATGTTCCAGGCCTTCTCCTTCTGATTGTACTACTGATCACAACGGCCTGGGGAATTGGTTCACTGATTTTCACTCCATTGCAGATGTTGCTTAGAATCAGATTGGAAATGAGCCCTGGTGCGTACATACTGATCGCTCGGTCTGAGGAAAAACCCCGATTTGAATTCGGTGTTTCAGGGCTTCCGCCTTACGATTGGTGGGTTCAGCCGCCCGATGAGGTTTTGCTCAAAGTCCACCTGTTCAACATCACGAACTCCGAAAGGTTTCTCAATGGCAGCGACGAGAAAATAGCCGTGCAGGAAATTGGCCCTATTGTTTACCGGTTAGTCTGTTAGTCTACACAGGTGTTTAATAGTTGTGAAAACGTGCACTTTGCAGGGAAAAACTGAGGCATTTCAACGTCAAGTCCAATGCCAACAGTACGCTTTCCTATAGAGCGAACAGGACTGCCATATTCCTGCCCGAAATGAACACGATCAACTTGACCGATTTCATCGTGGTTCCTAATCTAGCAGTTCTGGTAACTACATGCACAAAATGTTGGGTGTCGAACATATCGATAGTTTATGGGTTTTGCAGCTAATTCCTGCTTATTTTCACGATGCTTCGATGTTCGTTAAATGGGGCGTAAACGTTTTGTTGAAGTCCTTCAATGGCCAGCCACTGGTGCGAATGAGCATTCAGGATTACTTGTGGAACGCGACTGATCCGATTTTGGACGCTGCGGAGAAACTAGCGCCAACTTTAGTACCAATGAAAAATGTGGGCCTGCTAAGCACTGTAAGTGGTCGATACTGGCGCAAACCATCAACTAATGCTTCAATTTCTGCCAGATCTATCAAGACTTTGAAAACGACGTGACAGTATTCACCGGGCCGAAGCATGGAAATGCCAAGTTCTTCACCATTGATAAGTACGATGGATCAGGCTATTTGCCTCATTACGCAAGTCCCGCCTGTCAACAACGGTTCAGAAATGCTTCAGAGGGAATTGGCTATCCTCAGATGCTCACTAAGGATACGAACTTAACCTACTGGCGGCGATCCATTTGCAAATTGGCCGATATTCGATTTACTAGTAAGCATTTACTATTAAGCGCATTTGTTGCTGTTGTAATCCGTGTACTTTAGCCCGTGTCCCATGCATCCGTTTGTACGATGATACGATGGTACGAAAGTGTTTCTATTGGTTGGAGATCTGTCAATTCGTACGACGACGGACGAACCGAGGACGAATTGACAGATCTCCAACCAATAGAAACACTTTCGTACCATCGTATCATCGTACAAACGGATGCATGGGACACGGGGGGCTTTTTGCGTCATGCACAATTTTCACTTGTTAAGGGGAAGACAGCAAGTATGGCATACAAGGGTATCGCTTCCAGTTGGTTCCATGGGCGTACAGTCGAACCCAATGGGAAGGGAACCCGGACTGTTTTGCAGGCACACCTGCTTTACCCAATGGGGTGGCAGACATCTCATCGTGTTATTGGGGTAAGTGGTTCCACCCCCCAACTGACCAGTCGTCAACAGTCGCTGTTTTAGGGTTTCCTATGGCTGTCAGTTTTCCCCATTTTCTCTTTGCCGATGCCAGCGCCAGTGCAGCGATTGAAGGCCTCAGCCCCAATGAGGAGGACCATGGTTCCTTTGTCCTGATAGAGCCAGTAAGAATAAACTTGATATTTTCGGTTCGATTTTAGTGAGACTGTGTAGGTGACTGGGGTTCCGTTGGAAGGGAAAGCCAGGTCGCAGATCAACCTGGTGATGAAGCCTTTGACTGGGTTCCCAGACAACATCCAGAGATTTAGCAATTCTGTCCTGCCTCTGGCCTGGATGGAATACGTAAGATGGTGGTTGAAGGCTGGTTGGTGGCTTGGGCTTAATTCTGTTTCGATTTCAGCACCAGGTGGGCGTTCCCACCTACATCCAACTACTAGTGTACTTAGCTGCGGTTGTGGTTCCATCCACTCAGCTCGCCATCTCACTCATTTCGCTCAGTTTGGGCATTTTGTGTGGCTATTTCTTGATCAACGGCCTGTTTCCGCGTTCCCCGTTTACAGCCCAGGGGTTGAAGCGTGAAGATCAGGCCCTAATTTGAGTGGAACCCGGCTATGGATGGCACTTTCCACATTTTTTTCAAGCAAAAGGGGTTGAAAATATCAGTTGTAACTGAACAGTGATACGTTGTGATTTTGTTAATGACTAGTTATTTATTGATTGTTGAGAGTGTTCTGAATTTTGAAGCGCAAAAACATTTTGAATAAATTGTAACGAACATATTACTTGAGTTTGGTTCCTCTGAATCATAGTGAATAGTCTGTTCTGTGAATGTTCAAGAAAATAGCGAGCTAATCAATATCAGAAACATAACTTTGGAAGTTTTTAAGGCACATAACAATGATACGAAAAGTAGCAACAAAAAAATAAGCCGTTTAATTAGATTTAGGCACTACAAAAGGTCAAACAATCGCACTTAGTACTAAGTCAGTCTTTCGAAATAATTTACAAAACACACTTCAAATGTAATTAACATCGCGGAAGTTTCCAAATTTACAGTAAACGTTTCAGGTGCTTCTTTGATTAATATAATCAAAGAAAGGAAAGCCATTTCATTAGCAAGCAAGTGCAAATGCATGGCTTTTAGGAAAGGCTATAAAAATATCACAGAATGTAACAATGAGTCCCATCGGATCGTTGCACGATTCAGGCTCTGATAGTGATCGGCCTCCTCATGCTGTTGACGCGAGATCGGCTCTTCTGATGCTTTTTGAACACTAGCAGAATGAAGGTAAAGGTCACCATGGTGGCCAACAAACATCCGTACTTCAGCCCCAACTCCAAGTTTCGGATGGTGAACGTTATTTGGTAAATCAGCTCGACCACTGACGCCGGCAGTTGTTTCTCGTCAATGCCCTGCACAGAACAAAAGAGCGCCATCAGACCAACTGCAGAATGGCAACTGGATGTGGAACACTTACGTAATCCACCCAAACCATCGGCAAGATCAGACCGTCAGGGTAGTCGTTCAACACTGAGAGTCCGAAACTTTTCTTCACCTGCACGTTGATCTGTATCTTCAGTTTGCCTCTAATCAGCATGCCGAATTTGGGGTGAACATCCAGAAAAGTGTCGTTGATCACTGGGTTCGGGTTCAGCCCTGTCATTGCGTCGATTAGACGGGGCTCAGCCCCATAGAGATGGGGGTGCGAGTAGAACAGAGGGGCGCCTGAAATGAAACATACATGTTGTTGAATAATCCAATAGAATGAGTTTTCAAACTTACCATACAGGCAGGAAGTGGCATTGAACAATCCTTTGGGTGGGCATGAGTCGCTATTTTGGCCGCAATAGCACTGATTGTCCGCGTTTTCCGCTGCATCAAATACGTCCAGAGGAACTTTGTACCTGAAATAGCCAATTACAGAGGTTTTCAATGCTGAAGCCTTCATCAACCATCAATGTTAAGTACCTATAAACTGGCACTTTATCCAGAAGCCGTTCCTCCCCAGCGAATCGCATCGGAAGCTTGCGACACATCTGCGGAATAAACACGTCCAGGTCCTTTCTGGCCCGAACAAGGTCTTGACGATAGATCAAACCGTCGGAGCCCTGAAGATTATTGCAGCTCTCCGAGCCCCACATTTCGTAGTGAGTTTGGCCGTTGAATTTCTCCACTTGGCCCAGTTTGTTGATGTCGTGCGCCCCAGTGTTCAATGTGAACACATCCGGTCGGATGCCTTTCTTCCAAACCAAAATCCCTGCAAAAAGAGTAAATGAGGTCCGCCAATCACTACGTCTCTGAAGTGGCTCTTACCAAAGTTCTCAAAAACTGGTTTATCCTCGTACTTCAAGTAACTCTTGGCGAGTTCGTAGAGACGATCGTCGTATCCGATAATGAAATTGTGGGCGGTTTGGGCAGTGAAGGCGCTCTCGGACAGAGCGTTGATGATCCCTTGGTAACCGAGCCTCATGATGAAGTTGAACTGCTGGACGATGGCAGCGCCAGCCAATAGAGGCACGTTGGGGACGATCACCACATCGTCCTTGGACCCTTTGGAGAGCTCAGGGCTGAATCTGCAAAATTGGGAAGGTTGGAAAAAGCCCCCCACACTGTGCAGGCAAAACGCCTACCGATAACTCCTCTTCTCCTGGTACGATACGGTGCCGTCCACTTTGCTGAACCGCACATTGACCCGCTCCATTTCCTCAAAGTACACGTAGGGGCCCAGCTCTTCAACGTGCAACTTCTTCGCCCTGCCCATCTCGAAGTCCTCCACGTTCGTGTAGTTGAAGATGTAGATTTTGACTGGCGGGTGAACTGGCGGCTTTTTCCACATTTCGTAAGTTGGCGCGTCCTCCGACAGAACCATCATCGACTCGATGCGTTTCTGGAACATGTTGGTGAACCACATGGTGACTGTTCCCATTGCGCTGAACGTGAAAAGCAGCATCAGACCGGTCAGGACTAGAAAACAATGATACTTTTTTATTAAAAAGTTCTTTCCCGAAAGGTTTTTCTAGCTCTCCATTCGTAAGGGATCAGACAAACAGTAAAAAATCTTGAAAATTTGCTGTGCGAATTTTACTTGTAAACGTAAGTCAAAGAATGAAACTTTTCCGCCCGCACAGCACATAATATTCGGAAAACGCATAAAAATACCTGTTCTTTATCGTCATGGACTGACTGCTATTTACTAGGCCCGCCTAAGTCAAATGAAGACGCCAATATATATTCGTCTCTCTCACCACCGTTGCATTCGACAACTAGCTTGTCCATGGCAATAAAATAGCAGGCACGCTCCCCCATAACGGTGTTGACTAACTGGCCATTTCAAATAACATCTGATTGAGCGACAAAATTTAAATCACATCATTTAAGAAACGTTCAAACAGATTTATCCAATTTGTGTTAACAAGCTGATAAAGTTGTTTAGAGCCAGATTGGGATGTTGTCATTTGTCAACAATCTTTAAAAATAACCGAATCACCCTAGAAAGTACCCGATAGATTGGCGATAACCTTTCAAATGAGGGGTCGCCGCAATCTGGACATGTTCGGATTTCTCCCGTTACTGACGCATTCTAATCAATCATAGATCTGGTGATCTTGCACATGACGTAGATCCATCTTTTAAGTTTTCGTCTTCACTTACCCCGAGGCCACTTTACAAACAGATCCTGGATCAGACATACTTTTTCGCCCAAGAAACTAAACATTTTGACCAAAGCGAAGCAACAAACAAAGTCATATTTCCAATCGTGTGATCGCAATTGTAAGATGGCACAAATCCATAAATTGCATGAATTTCAAAGGCAAATGAATTGTTAATTGAAATAATTGCGTCTGGTTAGCTAATTTGCCAATAAACGTTTAAAAATTCCTTGACCCCTCATGGCACTTTATTAATAAACCCGTATGGTGTGATTTTGAAAACTGGCCAATCGCTGATAACTTTGGGAAAAAAGTAAAAATGAAAATTTATTAGCTCCTTATCAAAATGACCGCCCACTTAAGTGGCTTGATCCTGACCTATCCGCCTGAACCGCCCGATTTTATTGGCGTTTCCCATTTGAAAAGACGATGATTTTGTAAGAAAACTTCTGCAATTTTCTCACTTTTCAAAAATTGATTTCTCCATATTCTCAATATAAGCGCTTAATTTACTAAAATCAGCTTAGTATATGGCTGTAGCAAGTTGTCTAGACTGGGGAGGTTATCGCTTATCTGCTTCTGAGGTTGCACGATACCATTCAGGGTTCAGAAAAGCTCTTATCTTCATCATTTTAGTCGCTAAAGGTTTTTTCCAGCCACTTTAAGAATATAAACTTACGCAAATATTACTCTTTTCGATTGTTTAAAATTTCGCATTAGAAAGTAAACAAAAACTTAGTAGGTACGAAAAAATTAAAATAGAACCCAAATTTTCCAGAGGTTCTTGAATTTTTTCTAAACGATTACTTCATATAATTGAAAAAACGTTCAATTTCAGCTCACCTATAACTCTTCGGGTGTTCATCTGATAGCCAAAGAAGGCGGTTTTTTGCGGCACAACGTCATTGTTAATTTTTTCGAAAAACTCCCTCGTAATGGCGGGCGCTTTCACAAAAATCTGACTACAGTTTTTCTCCAAATCGGACAGGTTTGAGTGCCTGCGGGGCGCGAAACTGCGCTCAAGAGAATCGTCCAGCATCGCAAGAAGAAATCGAACAACAATCGAACACGCTAGATTTCGAATGAATGAAACAGCTTCCAAGTTATATGCAATATATGGTTGTTATAAGTCTGATTTTTTATCTGCTAAGACACAAATACGACGGTCTTATCGGCGTTTCTTTGACGAAACCATCGCCTGGTTAAGATGTAATCATCGACGTCTAAGCGCGCTGATTGAGTAGGTTTGCTTCAGATTTAATCGGCTGACTTTCCAGAACCATTGAATGGCTTGTGAGTGGTCCTATGAATCAACCGAGTAAACCTGGTTATTAATATGGATTCGATTTTTTCCAATCAGTTGCAATGAGTTTATCAAAACGTAAATAATTCGTTACTTTCAGTGACCGTATAGGATTGTTTACAGAAAGTCTGTAAAAAAACTCGATGGTTTAGAGAGGTGATTAGGAATCTGCGTGCTTTTCCATCATGATTCGCAAGCGTTGTTGTTCATTGGTGCGGATTGCAGCTTCGTTGGTGTAATATGATTCATGTTATTTGGACGAATTGGCGAATGCGCGCAGAGTTGCAACTTATTAGAATTAGCCAACAGCGATTGTTGTAATTGCACAGATAATGTGCACTCGCATGTACTAAAAATACACAACAATCTTATTAATATCTCGGTTATTAAGTAATTTATAGGGGCCATTAAATTTAATTTCCATTTTATCGCTAATAATGTTATGTCTTTCTCGACACGTTGGATAACACTGATCAACCATTTCTTCATGTTACATGCAGATTTGCACTTGTTTATTAATGTAAAACATGTAAGATTCATAATAAAATTCTCTGGTAAAACGAACCACTTTCTGGTTACCTTTTTTCATTATTTCCATATTTAGTCTATGCGAAAGGAAAATGGACAAGAGCGTGTTTAGTCGAAAGTGAAGCATGTTTAAGAAGGCTGGCACCAACGATAATCAATCACTTGTCTGGTAGCGGATTTGGATCCCGCTGCTCTCGATAATCAACGATTACTTCATCCATAATTGGAGGCAACAATAAACAAATTGCGGCCTGTTTACTAGTTGCAATTGTGTGAGCCTGCGTAAAATGAAAAACCTCAGTTTCATCAAATTCTAAGTAATTGACCAACAAAACAATTACTTCTGGAGATTAATCGGATGTTTCCTCTTCTGACGCAAAATCCATTGAATCTGTATATGCGCTAATTAAGAATCGAAGGCTTTCTACATGTGTACTAGATTGGAGACATAATAAAGCCATTATCATTAAACGCTTCATTAGCAGCGCTATGTACGCTCTAATTTGAAAAACCACCAGCCTTTATAATTGCCAAATTAACATTAAACAACACAAACAAGTTGCGTTCATTTTCAATTTTTCCGTTTGTTTTGCCGGAGAAAGCTGGCCGTTAATTAACACATGCACACTTTGAAAATTTCCCTTATGAAATAATTAATGTGTTCTTTGGCAAACTGTTTTTCATGGACCTACAAAAATCGAGTTCTAAGCAAATGATTGAAATAATGCTGGAATTATACATTACACTGCCGAAACCTGTTTTGGTTCTGTTTCATAAAGCTTCTTCAGGAATAGAATATTTCAGAATTTCTGAGAAGAGTTAGGTTTTGCGGCCATGCAAAAACCGCAAAGCCTAACTCTTCTCATAAATTCTGAAATATTCTATTCCTGAAGACGCTTCATGAAACAGAACCAAAACAGGTTTCGGCAGTATTATCTTACAACTACAATGTAAAATTCCACGATTTTGAAAAACAAATTATTACAATGTTTACTCAAAGCGGCATACAAATACAATTTTTCTCCAATCTCTAAACGGCCATAAATGGTGCTTACATAATTTTAAATGTATGCCTTATTTTTCGGGCTTCAAATCGGATTTTTGGCGCCGCTTAATTGCAATAATACGCGCCATCCTCTTAGAGACAAGGCTTTTCAGTGATTGCTGCGATTTATCTGCTGTTTTTTGTGGAATCTCCGATTCTATTTACCGCGAAACTGACGCCCCAATTAACGTAATTGGCAATTAATTCGGTCGGCCGATTCACGTCCGTTTCAAAATTTATCAATCCGCGTAAACAAACTCTTTTTTTGGCTGCAACAAAACAACATTTTACGCTATCACGTATGTATTAACGTGTTTGTGGGAAAAGGCGGATTTCGAAAACGGTGTACGAACTCTTCTATGTGGAGGACGAAAGTTCATGGCTGCCTGCACTGTTATCGCTCAACAAACAATAGTTTTTTTGTTAAAATACATCCTATTAAATCTGGGTAAAAATTCGTTGAATTTCAGTTATTTTTCTGCAAAAAACTCCGATACAGGAAAATGTTTATATATCTGGTTAAGAATTTTTTCATCTCAAACAGTTGCGTTGATTGACTGGATGCGAAAATACATGAAAAAATCAGCATGGTAAATGCAGCCCAGCCTCGCCCGTTGGATGCCAAACTCTTGCCTGTACCTTAGACTGTCAAACTGGCGCCTAGCTGTAGCCCCCGTATTGATATGCGAGGATCTTGACAGCTTCGGCCCCGGTGAATGGCGGGCAGTTTGAAAATTTACATTTCGCGTCCTGAAGTATTTTTCCTGTAGAAGCTTATGCAAATAAATTGCAGTTTTCCGAATAGTATTGGTAAGAGAGTTTTTAATTCGCTTTCTAATTTGTCTGCTGCAACACATCCCGAGCTGTATTGATGGTTTCAAATGGCTAGTATCAAGAAAGTTCTCCTAAGTAGCTAATAAAGGCTGGCCCGAACTCCGAAAACTCTTTGTTTGCCAAAATTACTTCCCGGCGCCAACAGGAACTTTTCAAACTGCGCGCCATTCCCGGGAGCCAGAGCTGTCAAGATCCTTCCAAAATATCTGGGCTACCGCTAGATGCGAGTGATGTAAGCCGAAGTAAATAAACCGGATTTCTTCAAAATCAACAAACGCCTGAATTTAACGCTTAACTAAACGGTGCAACCGAACCCCAGAGCCTACGCTTTCTGGTAAGTGTCCCATTTCAGCTGAAAGTGTTCTATACAAAGCAACTACTACATAACCTAACTGTGTGATGTAATGGAGCCCTAATGTTTTCAGATGGCCATTCAAATTGGCTCTTTAATAAAACGGTACACTTTAGTAACGCTTCTCCCTACCTTTGTAGTAAGTACCATTTACGCGGACTGGTCGTATACGCAACAGTGCAAAAGGAGGAACGAAAAGCAGCACAATGAATAGATTGCGCTACATTATTCCTAGGCAATGGTATGCCTTGCCCATACTTTTCACCGGTATCTATCTGGGTCATTTATTGGACGTGTAAGGGCTAGCAAATAATTGAACGTAGTGCTCGAATAATTCGCATTTTGTTTTCAGAAAGGAGACTGAAAGAATGACATTATTCAGAGACAAGTCAGCCCTATATGGACGGGAGCTGCAACCAGGAGAAGCACCCACTTGGCCTTAGAGCAAATGATAGCAGTAGTAGATTTTGTGACTAAATCGTTGCCACCTTCATGTTTATTTAAATCGAACTGTCTACAGCACTGTGTGCTTAACATTTTCCTGTCCCCCACTGTTCAACATCCGCAGCATTTCAAAGGCGTGCTTTTTCGCTTCTTGGGTCCACCCAACTTGGGGCTTTTCGCAGTTGTTTGACGGAAACAAGACACTCCTCCTGCTCCTAGCAGTTTCAAGGCTCCCTTTTTTTGGCTCCTCCACTATCCTGGGCTGCCTGAGACTTTTCCTGATAAAATTGCGGTCTTTCAAAGGACTAGTCTTGAAGCGTATCCTCCGTTCCGACAATGCTCTGGCGAAGCCCACGGGCTTGGCAATTTTCCCAACTTGCAGCTTCGAGCTGGTCGGAAACACATCCGAGTCCCCACAACTGATATAGCTGGGTTCTTCCTCAGCCCGTCCGGGCGCCAGGTTTTTCGCGCTGGAACCCGACCGGGAGCTTTCGCTTCCTGCAGATTTGCATCGTTTCAAGTACGCGTCCGCTTGAACCAACTTGCCTTGCACCGCTCGTTCCATACTCTGTAGCTTGAGTTCCCTTTGCTCCAGCAGGCGCTCCTGCTTCTGCAGCAGCCGCTCTTTTATTAGCAGGGCTGCTTCTCGTTGCTCCAGAGTATCCGGACCCTTTTCCATGAAACAGCGCTGCCGACTCCATTGGCTGGACTGCAGTAAAACCTGCGGATGGCACAGGATTTTGTTGATGCGTCGCTTCACTTGCGAAGGGTCTTTTATCATCGAGGTCAGCAGAGATTTGAAGGTTTCGCTGTAGGGCGTCGCTTCCAGGTCGGCTTCGAACGAGGATTTTGCGAAACCCTTCAAAACGGCCAGCTGGAAAATTACGGCCCCCAGTTGGGACATTTTCACGTCGTTGTTCTCTGGAAGATCCGTGGAGAAGTTGTACAGTTTGACCTGATAGGCCTGGTCGAGAAAAACGGTTTTCAGGTCCAGCGGGCCCATGAAGGCTTTGATGGTTTTGAGGGCAAACGCTGTTTGGTACAGGATTCTGTACAAGAAGGTCTCGTGCAGAGGTTTTTGCAGGTTTTTGGTGAATTTCTGCAGGTTTCCTCCCGGGCAGTGCTCGCGCCGTAGATAGACGGTCTCCTGCTGTTGGACCGGCGGGTAAAATTGCACCAAATGCGGGTTGATGAGGTTCACGCGATTTTCAATTTGCTTTATCAGAGCCTTTCGCGATTTGCCGTTAAGTTTCTCTAAGGAAAGGGCTTGAACTTGGAAAAACTGACCGCTCGGCCGGTGTTTGACTAGGAAAGTCGATGGCCCGTCGGGGCTTTCTTCAACTACCTCGTAGGCTTCGGCCATCTGAAGTGAAACCAAACAAAGGCCGCATTTTCACTAACAAGTCCATTAGATAAAGTTGTGGTCTTACCATGGGACGTGTTGGGTCATGTATAGTCGCCTGGTTAATCACCGGTTGGGGGCGAAATTCCGAGAACCACTCACAAAGCCGTTGTTTGCTTGTTTACTGGCTCTTTAAAGACCGTTCAGAATTCAAATCCACCGGATCTCGACCGCAGGTCGATGGTACCTGGCTGGCGCCCGAGGGCTGTTTCTTAAGAAGGTGGGAGTGAGATCAGGGGCGGATACAGCTTTAAAGTCAGGGGGGGGTTATGTAGAAAAATACAGTCTTCTGTTGTCTATGAAATTAGAAGAATGATCGTCGTTTTGTGCAAGGGTGGCGCAAGATTATTGCAAAATTTCACGTTTTCCGTCCCGTTTTGCATGTTTCTCCGAAGCAAAATGAGCAAGAACGCTCGTTTTTACATCATTCCAGAGATAACTAAATGGCCTTTATTCG